AAAGGAAAGGAAAGGAAAGGAAAGGAAAGGAAAGGAAAGGAAAGGAAAGGAAAGGAAAGGAAAGGAAAACAGGGAAGACAAGGAAAGAGAGAGAAGCTGTAACATTTGTTGCTTACTCAACATACAAAACAGGCCCTAAAGCATTTCCTAAAGTCACAAACATTTATTATCAGCATCTGGAAGAAAGAAGCAGACAAAATAATCTAACTACAAACAAACTGTGTGACAAGAAGTCAAGAAGTTCCTTTATGCTCTCATGTTTGCTGAGTCAAGATGATTTACAATTCTCTGAAAGAGACTGTGCATGAAAGAAGCCCTGTTTAGACATTACAAAGGGTTAAATTCACCAGGTAAGAAACCCTTAGTAGTTGCGCTGTTCTGTTTCGAGAAAGTCATCCATGCTTTTCAACATCTATCTTAGCAAACATTTGCACTGCCTGCCCACTCCTTTGTGTTTGAAAGCTTCTTCTGTTCTTGTCACAAATGTGAGACTGATACCTCCAAAACAATTCAGTTCCTTATTTGAAAAAAAAACCCTCTTTCTACTGGGTTAAAAGAGTAGTTAATGTAACTTTTCAGCTATGTTCATGATGAACTAGCAAGGCTGGTGATCTGCCTAACTGTCTAACAATTTCTACAATCATGCAAACTACTGACCTAATAGTTGAAATATCCCAACTCAGCCATGTAAAATTACACTGAGCCCTTCCTCAGTCTCTTTCTATAATGGGTTATGAGAGTAACCCTGAAGAACAGGAAGAAGAGTCACAATCAAGACAACGGTCAGTTAAGAGAAATGTGAGTCCAAAGCCAGAATGTAATTCTCAGGCTTGACCCTCCCTAGTTCTCTTGAACGTAAAGGCAGCAAGGGGAGAGGCACATTCAGACTTGCAAGATTGATGTCAGCCCTTCAAGGCAGTCCAGGCCAGGAAACCAAAGTTATGCCTGTTAATACTACTTTTATTACAAGGTTACAGTAACAGAATCTTTCTTCTCCTTTCTATGAAGGAGAGTTGATGGAAAGCATAGGTGATTCAGGCAGCATGAAAGATCTGGTTAGGGTTGTTCTATCTGTGGAACCCATTTTTAATTCCATCCCACCATGTATTGTGATGATCTCAATAAATATACCGTTTTAGAATAAAACAGGCAATGATAATAAAACAGGCAATAAAAACAAGCCAATAAAACCATCCAGAAAAATCAGCCTATTAGCCTACCTCCTACCAAAATTCTCTAAAAACTTTTATACTTTCTCTCTCTAAAAATCTAGGGGGATTGTCATGCTTTCCTCAAAGTAGCGCTATAGTTAAGGGCTCTGCTCTTGCTACAGTGTATTGTCCCATGCAGAATCAGAGCAAGGAATTTATCAGATAATATTTATTTATTTACATTCATTATTTATAGAATTTAAATAGCCACTGACCTCAGCCTTGTGACTCTGGGCAGCTTGCATTAAAAAAACCATCTTAAATAATCTATGAAAGTGCTCATGTGAGAAAAGCACTTTCTGGACTCCA